TCAAGAAACAAAAGCAATATAAAAATAACATCTTCAGACTTAATTAATTTAAAGTAAATTTCGATGTTTGGACCAATCGAGTTTACTGAATGATTACAGCATAAAAAATATAAAATTTAAATGAATGAAACATTTGCGTTACCGTTCGTTATAATTTACAGCCAGCTTAAAAAATAAAATGGCTTTCTTTAAATTCTTGATAAATTATCAGTATTGTTCCCAAGTGTCAGTATTTAGACATTATAAATAAGTATTGAAGTTTCATTGTAACATTCATTTTAAATTAACAAATTTACCTTGGGATGTCAAATCCCTGAGACTGGATGATCCCTGTCTGTCCTAACAGCTGAAGGATGGAATCACCACAGAACTACCCCCAATCCCATGCAAAATTTAACTCTTGTTTATAAATTTGTACGAAATTAATTATTCCACTTTTTCATATTATATTTTAATTTCAGTATTTTAGTATCTCAGTTATTTCAATTTCCAAATCCATCCCGTTGTCCACCGCTCCACCATTCCGCCCACCAATATAATATCTCGAAACTATGGGCAAACTTTTGACTTATGTATATGTTTATCAAAGTTTATGTATTTTAAAAATATATAATACAATTTTTAGAGAGTGCAGAAGGAAGCATGATTTAGAAAAAATATCAATTTTATAAACGTTGCCTTTCAAGTGGCACGCACCAACGAAGACAAAATTGTAATCGTTTCTAGGATAACATCAAAAGTTTAGAAATTTTGTAATATATATCATAGCAACGCCTAGTTCCGCTTTAAAACTGCACTAAATATACTAGATTAACTAGACATTACTCACTTATTAGCCTAGATAACCTAGATTTCATTTATGTAGAAAGCAATAAATAGCTCTAGCATTAATATAGAGCGACTAGACCTTAGCCGTACGTAGCCTTGCCCGCAGAGTCAACGTGTTAACAGCTGTTGATGTTGTAAAAACAGCTGTTGCTGTTGTAAAAACAGCTGTTGTTGTTGTAAAAACAGCTGTTACTAGCTTCTGCTGTTGTATATTGCTGTCGCAGTTTTAAGCAGCAGTTTTCTGCCGCACTAACAGTCGTTTGGATGCTGTTTTTCTATTGCCGTTGCTGCAGCTAGGAAAGCTGGGAGTGCTGGGAAGGTTGGGAGTGGGGGTGCTGGGAAGGACGGGAATGCCACGTGTGCTGGTATTGCAGGGAAAAGTATCACTGGTAGTGCTAGGAAGGCCGTGAGTGCTGGGAAATAGGAGTGCTAAGTCTGCTAGTAGTGGGGGTGCTGGTAGTGCCAAGTGCACCGGTAGTACTGAGGGTAGTGGTGATGGTACTGATGGCAGTAATAGTGGTGTCGGTAGTGCTGAGTAGACCTGGTAGTGCTGAGAGTAGTGGTGCTGGTAGTGCTGCTACTGCTGGGAGTAGTGCTGGTACTGATGGCAGTACTAGTGGTGCCGGTAGTGCTGGCAGTGCTGAGTCAGGACACGAGGTAGTGCTGGTAGTGCAGAGAGTAGTGGCGCCGGTAGTGCTGGTAGTCATGGGAGTAGTAGTGCCGGTAGTGCTGGTAGTGCTGGGAGTAGTGATGCTGGTAGTCATGGAAGTAGTGGTGCTGGTAGTGCTGGTAGTGCTGGGAGAAGTGGTGCTGGTAGAGCTGGTAGTGCAGGCAGTCACCAGGCGTCAGTGTACCGCACGTCGACCTCCTGCAGCGCTGGCAGGGCCGCCCTCAGCGCAGCGTAGGTCGCGGCGCTGAGTGCGGTGCTGTTCAGGTTCAGCTTACGCAGCTGCTTCAGCGCTGTTACGGGAGATCAAATATCTATTACAATTATACCTAATATAATAATGTTATAATAATAGTTATTAATATAATACTATAATAGTTATAGTTAATAATATAATAGTTATTAATAGTAAACTAAGAAGCATCCAAATATTAATTACAATTATACTTACAAAGTAATAGTTATTAATAGTAAACTGAGAACCATCCAAATATCTATTAGAATTATTCCTACAATATAATAGTTATTAATAGTAAATTAAGAACTATTAGATAACCTTAGAGAAGAACCATTAGGCAGCAGACAGAAGCGCGTGAGGCTTGCAGTGTTTAAAAATGTACTTATGATGTAGTTATATTGCGATATTATATGATAAAGAAGTTAAAAGCTAATAAATCCCATGTTAATTATCTTTATCTAAAATTTTTCGGAGATCAGCTTCATCATCGTTTCAAAAAATAAAGAATGCAATTACAATAAGCAGGGAAAATCAAAGAGTAACTTCTACATCCGTGTTTCTGGACACCGCGGCAGGAGCTATCGTTCGAGTCTGGCACTTTCTAAACCTTCTCACTCTGCTGAGATTTCTAGATACTTGGTGCCAACTCCAGTGGTTCTAATTAGTGTATAATAATAAAAAAAACTGAATACTTTTCAACTGAATATTTTTCAAAGGAAATCTTGTCTCAGGGACGCGTACAGTTTTAATCCTCTTGAAATTGTAAGATGATAGGTTTTATCTTGAATTGTAGTTTTCTCGTTGCTTACTCTGATGTTTCTAATTGACGTATTATAAAAAAACTGAATATTTTTCAAGTGAATATTTGTCAACAGAAATCTTGTCTCAATGACGCATACAGTTTTAATCCTCTTGAAATTGTAAGCTGATAGGTTTTATGTTCCATTGTAGTTTTCCCGTTGCTTAGGTTTTAGTCTCGTGTGCATTTTGATTTTTACTGCTGATTATACGTGCAGAATTTTTGAAGTGATGATGAGGCTGGTCTCCGAAAGGTGTTTAAATAAGGTTTATAAAGTTACATGGCATTACAG